ACATATCGTGAAGAGCAAACAACAAACAATTCGAGTGTTCCGCAGAGTGTTTTTTCCAGCTCCTACAATATCCCTGAAGGTCTGTTACGTCATCCAAAACGATTGGTAACCAAACAACAGCAAGCAGCTGGTGGTAAACCTTTTTAAGCCCATCAGACAAACTGTTTGACATTCCGACTATAAAGCCGGGTCCAAAACAATGCATGGAGAAACCTTTTGATCGCGTCATTAACCCCCTAAACAAAGAATGGCGAATCTTGAACAGTCATAAGGTGACGGGGAGAAATACTTGCAGTGAAATTCTACATTAACACACGAACTTATCTCAAGAACTGCTAACCATCCATGTAGCAGGCAAATAATCCGCTGGAGTAAACGTCAAAGCAACAAGTTTCCCTTCGCAAATGTGATTTGCAATGTAGCGGGATAGAAAGAAATATTTGTAATATGAACCGGGCCCGGTACTGTGCAACCCAGCACGGGCGAAAACACACCAGAAGCTGTAAACGTACCAGCGGCTTGCCCTCTCTGAAAGGTGCGTTAAAGGGAAGTGCCTCCGCACCCCCGCAACTTGATGTCTGACATGCGCCGCATGACCTACCACGCATCGTTGCTTCGTCCTTCATGCTTTCAAGGTAGGCGCCTATTCGAACGCCTTTGGGCATTGTGCCAAACTTTCCGACCGCTTTGCGTATGCTTCGCTTGTCCAACTCAGCGCAACAAGCATCCCGAGTCCTGGCATGAGTCCACGGTCTGCTGCTTTGCTTGTCGACTCCTTTTCTGTTCACCGCAGCTAAGACAGCTACGTTGTAGCTCAAATACAACCCCAAAACGTCGCCGCAGTCATCACCGATCACGGTCGGTGACGCAATTATTACCTGGTTCGGATTCGGGAGGCATCAACGCCATGTCCGGATGAACACCACGCTTAAAGCCGCACTTCAGCATGCTTGACTTCTTAACGTCTGTCTTGCAGACCTCCTGAACGCGGCGTTCAGACGCTCTGCCGATGACATTTCCACAAACCAGGTTCTCGGATACCGCTTCGACAGCAGTTTGGCCGTTGTCAGGCATCAACGCTTCTCCTCTGGTGCGATCGTCGACTGGACCAGGTGTGACGTTATCCAAACGATTCGGTTTCGCTGGCTTAAACGACGCCAATTTCGTGCTCTGGCCTCCGGAAGCGGTCGGAACCAAGGCCGACGACTTCTCCTTCAAATGCGCCTTCACCTCTGCAACAAGCATCGGTCGTCATACTCACAGACGACTGTCACTTAGACATCTACCTTCTTCGATTGTCGAATCCGGAAACATGCTCTCCATCGCACAGTTCACTTCACGAAACGTCGGTCGATCAGCAGGGCTCCACCGCCAGCCTAAAAATGAATTTCAAAGATGATCGAACGCTGGGGTAGCGAACACTGTTACACTGCAACATCAGTTGATAAACACTCGCTGGACAACCCCACGGGCATTCCATGCGAAATCCTTGCTCCAATAACGTGTACACCTCGGAAATGCCCACGTCAGGATATGGAGTTTTGCCGTATGTCGCGATCTCCCATAAAAGGATTCCGTAAGCTAAAAACAGATCAATTCGATGACAAAGAAAAGCGTAAAAGCTGGCACATCGCTACCCCACACGTCACTCTTCGTGGAAAACGTGTTGTACGCTAACCCTTCAGGAGCTGTCCATTTAATTGGAAACTTCGCACCGGCGTGGGCCGTGTATGTATCAGCGCGCATGAATCGTGCCAGACCAAAATCAGCTATCTTCACTATAAACGCTTCGCCAACCAAACAGTTCCTCGCCGCAAGATCCCTAGATATGAAGCTATCACGCCACCTTCAGTTTTGATACTAACGCATAAAAGATCCCATGTAATAAAAGTTTGACTTCGTATAAGTACCTGTTTCACTCCAGCCTCATAAAAACAACTGTTTACTTCAGGAAGTAAATAAGTTAAACCTTACCTTGTAATGAAAGCTATTCAATGAAATAATAGTCCAGTATTCATAACGAAAAAAACTGTGCCATATCTACAAGTAACGCAATCCAGCCAAATTTACGGTGGATGGCGTTAAACAGCAGCAATTAGCGACCTACTACCATCCTGAATGAAAGCTGTGCAAGAATGAGATTTACCAAAGTCTTAGAATGGCAAGAAATTGCGTAACAAAATTGAGTGGAAAAATGCCGATGTCGTGGTAGCCACAACTGCATCGAGTTTAGGCACATATGATCTCTGATCACGTCTGTCTCAAACTACGGATGAGAAAGTCGAACATAAGGAGGCAAAGTGCAAGTCTTTTTTAGCGTTTGAGATGTGGTGTTACAGGCAATTAAAACTTCAGGTTATACTTTAAAGTTAAAGACGACTAGACGCTCAAAGCTCGCGCTTTACAAAAATACAGGAGCGAAAATTACGATACTTTGGTCACGTCCTGAGAAAGGACGGTGAATGCCTGTAGAAAATGATACTAATACTTCAGGCTGTACTTCAGGGCGAGACTAAAGGAAGATCTAACAGACGTTGGACGGCTGACAACGTACAACACAGAGAATTTCACGGCACGAAGACCGTAGAAGAGTGTTAAGAGTGGCATGAAATTGCATGTCATGACTTCAACCTTCTCTGTACAGTGGATCACGCTACATTACGATGGACATTACTACACTTACAAACGGTATTATCCGCGCTGAAAAATATCCAAATGAGTTGTCGACGTTTGGGCAAAGTTCCAACTGAAATTGTTCAGATAACTTGTCAGAATGCATGCGAAATGCAATAAAACAGGTGAAACGAAGAAGGGCTCCCTAGCAAAAACCGCATTACAATGGACCTCGTGGAATCAGGAAGTGAAATACTGACAAAGACATCTGCGCACTCGTTGCAACGCTGTCTGAAGAAACTGAAAATTCGAGACGACTGAACCACCACATTGGTGATTCAACTGTACAGAAAAGGAGAAAACGAGGATCAGAAGAACCACAGACTGGTCAGTTTGCTGTCAATCACCTGCATGACCTTTGTGAAGGCGAAACAGACTTCAAGAAAAACTAGACGCTGAACAGCGAAAGGTGCAAGCAGGGTTCGACTGCGAATTTCGTACCACGGATCATCGCTAGATAGTACAAGCAATTCAGAGAAGCAACGAACGTCAGCTTTCTCTCCGCCTGGGGATCGCCGATTTCGAGGCCTTCGACTAGTGCAGATCCGTTCTGTACTGAATTCCTTGAATTGCCAGGGAACTGAGGAAAGGTATGAAAACCTGATTGACATGATTTACAAGAATGCAACTGCTAGTGTGAAGCTTTACGGAAGCGCAACCAAGTTCAAAATCTAAAAAGGCGTTCGACAGTGAGATGCAATATTACCGAAGTTGTTTATAGCAGCCTCAGAGAGGTTTAGGTTTTAAAAGCAAAGTAAAGCACTTCGCACTTCGGAAAATCAGACGTTGAAGATAAATGAGCACTACTTAAGTTACCTGTGGTTTGCGGACAACATCTGCTCGATTCAAGATCACCAGAAGAACTGCAAAAAAAGAATCCGAGACTTGATGAAACAGGGCTGAAAATGAACCTGAAGAAGACTCAGATAATGTTTAACAAGTACGTGACCTCGCGACCTGTTCATGTCAGTGAACTTAATCTTGAAGCAAACTACGTCTATACGGAAGCGCTCATTTCTGAAACGAAACAAACTTTGTTAAATCAACAAAAGAGTAAAAACAGAGTGGAACACTTTTTGAAAACCGAAAATGCTCAGGAAAAATGTCCCGGAAACTGTCCTTGTGCTTGAAACGAAATTTATTCGATCAGTGAGGATCCCCAGTGTCAATGGGTACGAAATGTGGATCCTAAGCCTAAAAGCCATTCATATACAGCAGGCTGCGCAGTGCAGGATGGAAGCGTCTGCCAGGAGTAACAAGAAAAAAATAAGACGAAAGAAAAAGCAAGAGCACTAACAGGAGTCTGCGATGTCCTTGCAGGGGTGAAGATGTCGAAATGGCAATGGGAAGGGCAGGTTGAAAGAAGAAACGATCACAGAGAAATGAGACTGGATTCTAGGAGAAACTGAAATGGAAGACAACCAGATCGATGGCGGAACGAACCAAAAATGCTCATTGAATTACGATGAATAAAAAGTGCAAAAAACACAAGCTTATGGCAAAGTCTTGGACAGACTTTCATCATGCAGAGGGCCGAAAATGCTGACAATCATCGTCGTCGAATTTGTCGAAAGATTTTGTTTTCTCCGTATTTCCTGATATTAATCATCACGCATAGTTTGAATCTTCAATCCATTTTTCACATGAGTCAAAAATGGCAAACGAAACCTCAAAAAAATCATCGACTAGTTGCTGCAGAAAGTCAAATCGAGTCATTCTATAGCTCATATTCAAATCGTTTCTTTCCATTCATTTAACCTGTCTCTTATGAAAATTAGCATCAACGGTCTTCCATTCGAATGCATTACTATGTGAGGGGGGATCAGATGATGTTCGACTTTCTATGACTGGGCATCATCTGAACATGGTTCATGCGCACTTATACGCAACTGAGCCGAACTTTACCACGCTTCGCATCATTATACAGCTTGCGGACGTAATTTTGACCCTTTTCTTTGGAAATTAAAAGCGTACGTATTTAACTAATCAATATCTAGCTTTCAACGTATTTTATAAATAAAAGACGCCTCAGCCACTAGTTTTCTTTTCGTTCTGGCTAAGAGATTTAACAGTCTTATGCTTAAAAATGTGAAACAATACAAGACCGCGTCGGGCAATCTAAGCAACTTCTACGACCATAATGCGCGCGTCATACAGAAATCTTACACACCCTGTCTCGAACAAGCGGAAGGTGCCTGGTCCGATCTACGATACTAAATATAATACCACTGTCCTGAGCTTAGTGGTCAGCGTTAGCACTGTGCCGCCGGCATTTGCTTAAAACAGACTCCAGTTTATGATGGCATTTCAGCCAGCCGAGAACGTACGTACCTATGAATGAAGTTCCTCGACTCTAGATAAGCCATGCCGCTGCTAACCTGCGTGGCCATGTACATGAGGATCGTCGGCGTCACATCCTGCCGGTCGCAGTGTCGTAGGAACTCCAGCAGATTGCCGTTGATCATGAACTCGGTGATAATGTAGAAAGGCGGCTCCTGCGTGCAAACGCCTGAAAACATAATGAGTCTATGCTCTGCTCCGCCGTGGCAACGGCGAGACGACCCACGCGCAATACGCTTACCCAACAGCTGAACGAGGTTTGAATGCTTCAAGTCTTTCATAATCGTAGCCTCGGTGAAAAAGTCCTTCAAAGCCATCGTATCCTCCTTGAGCGTCTTCACCGCCACTAGCCTGTTGTACCTCTTCCAGTACGCCTCGTATACGTCGCCGTATTGTCCGCCGCCTAAACGTTACGCCGTCATCACCGACTATCAGCGTCTAGTTGTCAAAACGACGATGGATATGAGCATCAGAATGCTACCAAGTCAATCAAGTCCCAAGCAAACCTAAGCGCTGCTTCATCACCACTTCGATCCGGTCCACTTCCCATTCATCAGGCTGTGTTGGGCTGAGCGAAAACGCGCAAGACGGCGCGTTCATCTTCGGCGCCGGATACACCAATGCGCACACCAAGCCACCGGCGTCTCGACTGTGATAGTGTACCAACTCGGCGAGCGTGTTGAACTTGCTCTCTGGCGTAATGAACACCTAAATAATAAACACCAACGTGTGAACACAACGCGTTATTCAACAAACAATCCCACCCTTCCTTCGACGTCCTGATTGATTCGATAATGGTAAACGCGTCCCTCGTAGCGGAGCGAAACTGAAATCTGGCCGACGCATGTCTCCGACTCCCTCACCAGAAAACTGCCGTTGATACCGGAGCTAAGCAGGAATTCGGCGGCACTGCGCGAAATCCTACCGTGGTACCTACAAAATGCGCTTGCGCTGTAGAGCAAGTCAATTTGGCCTTTACATACCAAGAATGCTTCTCGAGACTGTTCACCGGCGTCACGTACGCACTTGGTACCCAGCCGGTAGATTCCGCCGAGCGACAACCGGCAGACAGTGCACAGTTACGACAGCGAGAACAGCCATCCGTCCTCAACAGAGCAACCTCACACCATTCCCCGTTCTGATT